ATTTATATTTTTATACAGCAAAGTTCACATTAAAATTATCATTAAAATGATAAATTTGAAATTCACTTATTTAATGGTTAATACTGTGGATTAAGATTCAAATTCCTTTCCATCGTCCCTAATTATGGGACTTCAGTCAAATTATTAACCTCTTTGTGCCCCAGAGTCTCCATCTGAAAACTGGAATACTAATTATACCACCTAATATATTTGGTAGACGGGTTAAAATATACGAAGTGCTTAGAACAGTACTTGGCTCATGGTAATTGGCTTATAAGTATTTGTAAAATAAATGAATGAAGAAAGAAATTTACCTAAGAATAAATGTAATAAAAATTGCATACTATACTTACAAAGAAAATTACAAAGCTTTACTGGGAGAGAAAACAAATAAATGGAGTTCTATACCATTCCAATGGACAACAATGCTTCATATTCATAACGATATCAGTTTACCACAAGTTGGTTTACAGAGTCAACAAAATTCCAATCAAACTCAACAATTCTTCATGGAAATTAATGGGCTTTTAATACAATTTAATTAAGGAGCAAACGGAGAAAATTAACCATGATTTTCTGAAGGAGGCCGTAATAGGCAGAGATGCCTGAATCTAAGACATTAATGGTGGCACTGCCGGGGCTGGGCCAGGCTGAAGCCAGGAGCCAGGAGCTTCTTTTGGATCTCCCACATGGGTGCAGGGGCCGAAGGACTTGGGTCATCTTCCACTGCTATCCCAGGTGCGTTAACAGGGAACTGGATTGGAAGTGGAGCAGCCAGGACTTGAACTGGCGCCCATGTGGGATGCTGGTGCTGCAGATGTCAGCTTAACCCACTGTACTACAGCGCCAGCCCTGACATTAAGGCCTTTTATGAAGTTCTGATGAGTAAGAACATGTATTGGTGGAGAGAGAAACTCACCAACCAAACAGGAGAAGGTCTCTGATGCAGACCCTTTCAGAGGTGGAAACCTGATCCGTGACAGAGGATCATCTGTTTGTAGAACGATGAGATCCAGTCCCCAAATAACACCACACACAAAACAACTCCTGCGGATTAAAGGCGTTAATGCAAGAGGCAAGTTTTAAACGCTTGTAGAAGAATGCTTATAGGAGAATATCTATGATTTCTAAGGTTGGGAATTTCTTTTTAGATTTGTTTATTTGAAAGCAGAGAGACAGAGAGAGAAAGATCAATCCTCCATCTGCCAATTCACTCCCCAAATGGCCACAACAGCTGGGGCTGGGCCAGGCTGAGGACAGGAGCGAGGAACTCCGTCTGGGTGTCCGACATGGGTGGCGGGAACCCAAGTGTCTGCCTCCAGGCTGTCTTGGTTGGAGCTGTAGTAGTGAGAACTTGACCTTGCACTCTGCTATGGGATGTGACATCCCCAGAACAGCCCACTGAACCACAATGCCGGCCTCAGGGGAGATGTCTTAACACACAAAGGGCGCACACCAGAAACATTAATACGTTCAACCACATTAAATTAAGAACTTGTGTTCATCAAAAGGTACCATGCAGAAAGTGAATAAATCAGCCACAAGTAGGGGGAAAACATCCCAGCCTACATAACCACCCAGGGTTAGTATTTACTGTGCATAAGTAAACTTTGAAGCCATAGAGAAGGACCCAAACCCAATAGAGAAACTGAAGAACTCAAAAGTCATTGAACATACGGAAAATACTCAGCCTCATTAACTGTCAAGGAAGCGCAAATTAAAACCACAATGGCATCAAATTTTAGACGGCCCAGCTTGGCAAGAATGGAACGTGTGGCCATGCCAGCTGTTGGGAATCATGCAGGTCCTTATGAACCCTTGAGCACTGCTAGTGGGGTTTAAGTATTCATTTTGGAAAAAATGACATAATCTCTTAAAGTCTCATCACCTCATAATTTGTATCTTGGGTATAAATGCTGTAGAATTGCTTGCTGTTAAGTTCCCAATCATATTTTTCTAATTAACAGTATAAAATATTCAAAGCGTTGTGTATACGTGTGTGTATGCATCTATGTGTATCTGGATATATGGCTAGAAAGAGGGGGAGAGAGTGAGATATCTCTGTATGTGGTAGATCAAATGCTACTTTTAAAAAACTTGTATTTCAGTTAATACTAGCAATTTATCTTTTTCTACATAAATTAGATAAAATTTAGATAAATTAGATAAAAAGATTAGATGCTGTTGAAGTTTTCTCATTGATTACCAGAGTTAAGCAAAGCTTTCTCTCACAATTGTTTTATTGTCCTTTGTGTTTGAAATACAATTTTCTTTCTCATTTTTCTAATATGGGAAACTTTTCTGATGTTGTTGATTAATTGATTCATTCAGCAACTGTGGATAGTCTGCTTGGTGTATAGTTATTATTGTAGGTCTTTGGAATTGTGTGGAATGTTGTCTGGGGTGGGGAGAGAGACCGTAACCAGGTGTCATTTTCACCTTATGTTGAGTAACAGAATAGCTGAGACTGGGGTAATTATAACGGAAAGAAGTTCATGGGCTCACAGTTATGGAGACTGGGAAGTCCAGTATCAAGCAGTTGGTGATTCTTGCTGCATCATTGCATGGGGAAGGTGAGAAAGAGAGAGCGAGACAGCGAGCGAGAGGGAGAGTGAGCTTGACTTTTTATAGGGAACTCATGGCTGTGAAAGGCATGAATCCATTCACAGGCGCAAAGCCCTGATGGCTTAATCTAATGAAGTTTCCACCTTTCAATATCATTGCAATGACATGAGTTTGAGAGGGTTGGCATTCAAACCCTAGCACTGGGGCCTGAGCTGTGGCGTAGTGGGTAAAGACGCCGCACGCAATGCTGGCACCCCATATGGGTGCCGGTTCGAGTCCCGGTTGCTCCCAGTGGCTCTGTGCTACAGCCTGGGAAAGCAGTGGAAGATGGCCCAAGTCCTTGGGCCCCTGCACCCATGTGGGAGACCTGGAGAAACTCCTGGCTCCTGGCTTTGGATTAGCGCTGCTCCGGCTGTTGCGGCCATCTAGGGAGTGAAACAGCGGGTGGAAGACCTCTCTCTGTAATTCTTTCAAATAAATAAAATAAATATTTAAAAAAATGACAAGGTCTGTCTTAAGTCACTGCTTTCTTCTGACCTTTTATTAGATGCTGTTAAAGAAGCTACGTTACACCCTGAATGCTTTTCTGCTTAGATGTTTCTTCCACCACATGTCCTAATCCTTGTCCCCCAACTCTGCTTTCTTTTTTCTTAAGTGAACAATTTTTATTGAAACCCTCAAGATTAAAGAGAACCAACTGGTGAGTTTGGGTATGGTCACAGGAAATCTCACCTAACTGTGCCATCATTCATGGGAATGAACTAACCCAAACAGAACATTTGCTTTCTGCAAAGCTCTTTGGCATGACAAGTTCTCTGCACCTTTGTAACAACAAGGATGGCTGTTTCTTCAATTTTCCAATACCTGTTCTTTATTTCCACCTGGGCCCTTTTCTGTCCCCATTTCTACCCACATTCTGATCACAGCCATGGACGTCTTCTCTAAGAAGTTTCAATGCTTCCCCACGTCTGAGCTCTCACCAGAATCTTCCTTAACGTCTTTCTTACCAAATTTATTTTTAAATCTCCTTTAACAAATTTATTTTTTCCCTTACCTTCTCCTGCAAACTCTTCCAGCCCATGACCCAGTTCCCAAACTGCTTTCATGTTTTCAGGTAGTCGTCATAGCAACAGCCTCGAGTCTCAGAATCGATTTTCTTCTGCTGCTACAACATACGACAAACTAGGTAATTTTTATTTGTTGGCTCGTGGGCTGGAGCTGAGGGGTCAACATCAAACACCGGCCCCTGGTGAGCGCCTTCTTGCTGCATCAGCTCAGGACAGAGGTGAGAGAGTGAGAGGAAAGGGGGCGAACTCACTCCCGGGGGCCACGCTGTGCTGTGGTGTAGTGGGTAAAGCTGCCGCCTGCAGTGCCGGCATCCCACATGGGTGCCAATTAGATTCCTGGCTGCTCCACTTCCAATCCAGCTCTCTGCTATGGCCTGGGAAAGCAGTGGAAGATGGCTCGAGTCCTTGGGCCCCTGCACCCATGTGGGAGACCCGGAAGAAGCTCCTGGCTCCTGGCTTTGGATAGGCTTAGCTCCAGCCATTGCAGCCAACTGGGGAGTGAACCAGCAGATGGAAGACCTCTCTTTCTCTCTGTTTCTGACTCTCCTTCTCTCTCTGTGTGTAACTCTGACTTTCAAATAAATAAATAAATAAATCTTAAAAAAAAAAAAAAAGAGAAACACTCCTGGGATAATGGCACCCATCCACTCATAAGGGCACAGGGCTCATGGCCCAATCACCCCTTCAAGGTCAATGGCAATGAAATTTCAGCATGACTTGTAGAGGGGGCAAACAGTGAAAGCACAGCACCAGGTACACATAAGTAGATTCCGGCCCTTTGATTTAGTAGTCGTTAATATTAAAGTACAGAAAACGACGCAGATGGGAAGCTACTTTTGATACCCAAGGTAGCAAAAGATGAGGTATCTGACATGGGCTGAACAGGATCCTGCCCTCCAGAGCCTGCAGCCATTTAAATCTCAGAGCCTTAAGTTCACTGTGAATGGATGAGCGTGGAAGCTGCGTCCAGTGTGGTGTCTGAAGGCGGGGCCTTTGGGAAGTGACTGGATTGGGTTAGGTGGTGAGACTGGAGCCCTCTGATGGGGTCACGAGGGCTCTGCTAGGAGAGACCAGGTTCAGTGTGGAAGCGTGTGCTCCCATCTCCCTCTGCTTCCTGGCCTGCCACAGGGTCCTCCCTTGGAAAATGCTCCACCTTTGCTTGGGCCACCTGATCTTGTACTGTGAACCGCCAAAGCATGAGCGGGAATTAACCTTCCTTCCTCAGAAATCCTTCTCAGGTATTTTAGCTGAAGTGATGACAATCTGACTGAGATAGTGTACTATTCTATTTATAGGAATTGCTTTTGATAGTTAATGAAAGATAATTTGGCACGCAAAAGATTATATCAATCAAATATCTGTTGCATATCACAAATTCGTTTATCAGAATATGTGTGTGTGTGTTTAATTCTAATGCCTTTTGGTCCTGGCTGCCTTATTCATGCTCCAAATAAAAGGATACACAGTTCGTCCCATGGAAAAAAATTGCTTTTGTGATATTAATATGGAAGCCCCTGCTTTGACGTGTGTTGATAGATACCTGCTTGCCCCTCCTACTGAGCTGTTTTGCTAAGCAAGTCCTCAGGTATGGAATGCGTAGCAATTCTCACAGCAACTGAATGTGTCTCATTTACATGTGTTGCTGTAACAGGTGTACCTGGCTTACTTCCACCCTCTCATGCTGTTTTGCTTCTTCCAGTGGTTGTGGTTGTCTGTTCTCATCTGTGGGAAATGCGTTTCAAGTGGATCCCTGAACACAGGGAAGTAGGAGCCCTATGCACCTTCTCTCTCTCTCTCTCTATATATATATAAATATAATATATATATGCATATAAATATAATATAAACATATAATATATATATATACACACACATGGCTCAAACCTGTATGGTGCTGGTGCCATCTCACAGCTTGCCTTTTTTTTTTTAAAGATTTATTTTATTTATTTGATAGACAGAGTTACAGAGAGAAGTAGAGACAGAGAGAGAGGTCTTCCATCCACTGGTTAACTCCCCAGATGGCCACAACGGCTGGAGCTGAGCTGATCCGAAGCCAGGAGCCAGGAGCTTCTTCCGGATCTCCCACATGGGTGCAGGGGCCCAAAGACTTGGACCATCTTCTATTGCTTTCCCAGGCTATAGCAGAGAGCTGAATTGGAAGAGGAGCAGCCAGGACTCGAACTGGCGCCCATATGGGATGCCAGTGCTTCAGGCCAGGGTGTTAACCTGCTGTGCCACAGTGCCAGCCCCATTATATATAAATATATTTATATTTCTTCTTCTTCTACTACTACTTTTTTTTTTTTTTGACAGGCAGAGTGTACAGTGAGAGAGAGAGACAGAGAGAAAGGTCTTCCTTTGCCGTTGGTTCACCCTCCAATGGCCGCCACGACCAGCGCGCTGTGGCAGGCGCATGGCGCTGATCCGATGGCAGGAGCCAGGTACTTATCCTGGTCTCCCATGGGGTGCAGGGCCCAAGGACTTGGGCCATCCTCCACTGCACTCCCGGGCCACAGCAGAGAGCTGGCCTGGAAGAGGGGCAACCAGGACAGAATCCGGCGCCCTGACCGGGACTAGAACCCGGTGTGCCGGTGCCGCAAGGTGGAGGATTAGCCTAGTGAGCCGTGGTGCCGGCTTCTACTACTACTTTTTAAAGATTTATTTATTTATTTGAAAGTCAGAGTTGCAGAGAGAGAGAGAGAGAGAGAGAGGGAGAGAGACAAGGAGAGACAGAATTCTTCCATCCACTGGTTCACCTCCCAAATGGCTGCAACAGCCAGGGCTGGGCCAGGCTGAAGTCGGGAGCCAGGAGCTTCTTCTCAGTCTCCCATGTGGGTGGCAGGGGCCCAAGCACTTACGCTGTCTTCTGCTGCTTTTCCCAGGCCATTAGCAGGGAGCGGGATCAGAAGTGGAGCAGCCGGGACTCGAACTGGCACCCATATGGGATGCCAGTGGGAGGCAGCAGCTTAACCCACTATACCACAATGCCAGCTCCCTATTATTTTTTATGTTAATGTAATGTTAATACAAAGCACGAAGATTCAGTGTAGTTTATAGATACAATTCTAAGAGCTGGCACCGCGGCTCACTTGGCTAATCCTCCACCTGCGGCACTGGCACCCCAGGTTCTAGTCCCAGCTGGGGCACCAGATTCTGTCCCAGTTGCTCCTCTTCCAGTCCAGCTCTCTGCTGTGGCCCAGGAGTGCAGTGGAGGATGGCCCAGGTGCTTGGGCCCTGCACCCCATGGGAGACCAGGAGAAGTACCTGGCTCCTGCCTTCGGATCAGCGCAGCGTGCTGACCGTAGTGGCCATTTGTGGGGTAAACCAATGGAAAAAGGAAGACCTTTCTCTTTGTCTCTCTCTCTCTGTCTAACTCTGTCAAAAAAAAAAAAAAAAAAGGAGTATAATGATACTCCTCCCTCCCTCCCTCCCTCTCTCCCTCCCTCTCCCTCCCTCCCTCCCTCTTCTCTCCCTCCCTTTCTTCCTTTTTTAGTTTTTGAGATACCCATAAGTTTCCGGTTATCAGTGAAATGGATGTAGAGGAAAATCACAGTATTGGCAAGTACAGGGTTCGGGCATCCCTTGGGGCCCTGGCAGGTGTCTCCAGGGACGGGAGCTGCACACACTTTCTGAAGGCTGCACAGTGACAGACTGCTCAGACAGGAGTGGACGAGGGCTGCTGGGGGGGTGCAATGGTGCTCCTGAGAAGTCAGGCCTTGACCCCAGCTGGGGAGACCCCCCCTCACGGCCCAGCCACAGCCCGCCAGATCCGAGCGTCTGAGCAGGAGGCGAGGTGCTCTGTGTGACCCCTGCTGAGGTGTCCAGGGCATCAACGCTCTTGGCGGAGGCCCCTGTTGGTTGGGCCCCGAGGTGAGGGGTGCTGTGGAGTAAGGAGCCGGTTTACTGTGGCTCCAGCCATGGCTGGTGAGATCAGAACGCTGGACAGGGAACTCTAAGTGTCCTAGTGTCCCCATGCCCATGTAACACAGGGCTGGGACAGCTCAGTGTGTGCAGGGCAGCCTGGTGGAAGTCACCTGGTCTCTATGCACTGACTGGGTGAGTGTGCCCCACCTCTGAACATGCTGGTCAGTGGCAGGAGGACCTTGGTGGCCAGCAGGGTGTGGCCCAGACCAAGGGAGAAGGCAATAGGGTGGGCAGAAACTGGGGTCGGGGTGGCTCCCTTGGAATGATCAGCAGAGAGGCAGCTGTGGACCTGCCCAGTACACCTGCCCCTCAGGTCTGGGACTGGCCTGTGAGTGGTTCTCAGTGCCTGGTGTGTAGACTGCGTGAACCAGGGCTGCCAGGGGTCCTGATCTCCTGGGGCCTGGCTTGGCCTGCAGCTGCCAATGGTGGGAGGGGCCGGGGGCTGCTTCCCGAGGCACTGTTGAGGGAAATGAACCAACACTAGCACATGAGTGAAAAAGAAAGAATGAGAAGAATGAATGGAGGGAGAGAGAGGGGGAGGGGGAGGGGAAGGGAAGCGGGAGAGAGTTTCTGGATGGATTCCTGGGAGCCAGGAGGAGGTGTGCTCATCCCATTACACATCACACGCCTACTCCAAAGCCATCGTACTATCTAATTAAAATTTTTTTTGCTTATTTGAGACGCATAAACACACACATACACACATACACGCACACAAATGCCTGACACCAAAGCAGGGAATTGAGGACTCAATCCAGATTTTCCACCTGGCTGGTAGGGACCCAAAAGCTTGAGCTAACACCGCGGGAACCTGGAGTCCGGAGCCAGAGCCGGAGGTTGCACCCAGGCAGTGTGG